TTTCATAACCTAAACGTGGCATATTTTTTAAAGAAACAAATAAATCAGTTGTTTTTTTTAACTTGTTCAGTATTTGAGGATAGTTTTTCGATTGCCCACAAAAGATAGGGTAGTTCCACAAAAAATATGTTTAAAAATCAAGAACTTTAAATTGGTACCAAATATGTTTCCTCTTTAAGTAATCGATAGAGGGTAAAAATTGACGCAATGTGTCACATGGGCACACATTTATTTTTAGCATATTATGTGGAACTAATTACTTAATGAACACCCCTCGTGCTGTTGCCTGTCAACAGAGATTTTTCCGCTTGTTAGTTGCGTGGCGTTTCATGCGCTAATAGTTAACAGCCACAGACACAGCCACATACAAACAACAGTTGATCAACATTTATGGGGTCGATGTTGTTGTCGCTGCTGCTGTTATTGTTGTTTTTACAGCTGCTGCAACTCCAACGCCGCCAACCTTGGCAAAAATGCTGCGCTGGCTGTTGCTGCTGCGTTGGCGTTGACTACGCGCTACTGCTGCTACTGTTGTTGTTGTTGTTGTTATTGGTGTAGCTCCAGGGCTTTGTCAAGTACGGCAGCTATGGCCGTGGGCCAGCGTCATGGTGTGGAGATAGAGAGAACGAGAGGTAGGTGGGGGAGGGTCGCGTAGCCAAGCAGCGCATGGCTCATAAATTTCTTGCTGGTTTGCAATATGAAATATTTGCAGCATAATTGAATTAAGCCTGGGTGTGTGTGTGCAGTGTGCTGTTAATTTTTAATTTATGCCTATAACAAAGCAAGCAATTTTCATTAGGCCACATTTGAAAGAAACAATAAAGCCAACGAAAAAAGTAGAACAACAAAAATACGACAAAAGGTAAAAGTCTGTAAACGTACATTTTTTATAGTTGCCAAATTATCACCTTAGTTGACATGCACACAGAGTACATAACTGTTAATGTATTTCCTTAACGATCAACTCGCACTGTTTATGTTTATGTAAAGTGAATTTCTGTTTTAACATTCTTCAATCATAGCAAAGTTAACATATCTAGCACCTAAACAGACTTAGTGACACAGCTGTTAACAGCAGCTTCTGTCTGCAGACACCACAACAACAATTAACAGCAGGCAGCCGGCTACGTGTCGAAACGAAAATATGTGTGTGGCAATCAAATAATTGTTTTCTTGTCTCTTGTGCACTCATATTAACTAGGTTTTTTTTTTCATTTCAATTGTATTTTATTTTTTTTGCTAGCAAAACACAAAAGTAACAACAACTAAGTGACTTGTTTTATGTTCCGAATGTTAAACTTTTGTATGCTAAAAATAGAAACTACAAGAGCTTTAAAATTTCAAAGAACACGAGCTTTAGTGATCATTAAAAATGGGTAGGAGAACGGAAGGGGGGGAGGGGGGCAAGTGGAGTTCTCAAGTAACAAAGTGGCTGCTAGCAAAATGCTGCGTAATCATTTTCGGAAGTTTCAAGCAAATGGACAAGAACAAAGATTCAACGAAGGACAGTGTGCGGGGTGAGGGGCGAGCGAGAGCTAGTCGACTAAAAGCTGTGCAAATAAACGAAGGCGGCAACGTCAGCTGTAGATAAAACTGTGCATAAGTGTGCGTCTGTGTGCGAGTGACAGACATTCCAAACAGTGACAAAAAAAACAACAACAACAACAGCAACAACAAGAACAACAGAAGCAGCAGCAATAGCTAAAAAGAAATAAGGCCAATGATGCTTGTAATTGTAGCTGCGTTACTGTTGTTGTTGTTGTTGTTGCCGTTGCGGGCGTGCAGTTAAGGCCATGCAAAAGACCCAAGGCAATACCACATTATGAGTGCGAGGGAGAGCCCCACACGCAAGAGCCCAAACGAAATACGACAAACAAAAACTGTGTGCAATGTGCGAGCTTTGAAAGTGATTAACATTTTATGTGAGAGCTGCTGGCTGTTGACGATGATGATGATGATGATGATGATTGCCTCCTCACCGAAGTTAATCAAGCAGCAACAGCTATGCAAAAGAGAAATAAGTGCAACAAGAGAAACGAGAAAGAAGTGCTATCTTCGGCACACCGAAGATTTAATACCCTTGCAGACCCAACCTTTTCAAAATGCTCATAGTGCTTTGCCCGTATCTAAGAAGCACAGGGAAAATAGTTAATGCCGAGTATGGTTAAGATATCTTGAAAAACAAAACAGGTTTCCATACAACAACTTAATTTTCGACCGATCGTTCCTATGGCAGCTATATGATATAGTTGCCCGATGTGAATAAGATTTTGCATAAGTGGAGGGAGCATAGTAAAACTAATATATGCCGAGTTTGGTCAAGATATCTTGAAAAACAAAAAAATTCCATACAACAGCATAATTTTCGACTGATCGTTCCTATGGCAGCTATATGATATAGTTGTCCGATCTTAATAGAATTTTGCATATATATGGGGACCGTAGTAAAACTAATAAATACCGAGTTTGGTTAAGATATCTTGAAACACATAAAAATTTTCTATACAAAAACTTAATTTTCGACCGATCTTTCCTATGGCAGCTATATGATATAGTGGTCCGATCTTAATAGGATTTTGCATATATATGGGGAGCCTAGTAAAACTAATAAATACCGAGTTTGGTCAAGATATCTTGAAAAACATAAAAATGTTCCATACAAAAACTTTAATTTTCGACCGATCGTTCCTATGGCAGCTATATGATATAGTTGCCCGATCTTAATAGGATTTTGCATATATATGGGGAGCGTAGTAAAACTAATAAATACAAAGTTTAGTCAAGATAACTTTATAAACAAAAATGTTTTTCATACAAGAACCTACTTTTCGACCGATCGTTCCTATGGCAGCTATATGATATAGTGGTCCGATCCAGCTGGTTTTGACATATGAGCTGCGTGCAACAGAAAGAGGGAATTCTGCAAAGTTTCATAAAGATAGCTTTAAAACTGAGAGACTAGTTCGCATAGAAACAGACAGACGGACAGACGGACATGGCTATATCAACTCGGCTGTTGATACTGATCAAGAATATATATACTTTATGGGGTCGGAGATGTCTCCTTCTATGCGTTACACATTTCACGACAAAATTATAATACCCTCTGCAAGGGTATAAAAAAGTGTTGAATAGGATGAACTACGCGGAGGTGCCGGGTGAGCAGCACACAGTGCTGTCAGCTTTTGAGAGGCTCAATAAGTTAGTTTTAGCAGACGAAAACGAGGGAAATAGCTACATTTTACTTTGAAAAAGAAGCGAAAAGAAAATTTATTATATTTACATATATATGCAAAATATTTTCTACTTCCTAATTGAATACGTACATTACGTATTTATGTAATTGCTTATTGTTTAAGTAATAAGCATTTAAAAAAGGTAATGAATTAAAAGAAAAAAAATTTTAAAACGTCTATAAATCGCGCTTTAAATAAAAGCCAGATTTGACGAGAAGCTATTGGAAATCACAACACTGAGTGGAAGTCCTTTTCATATGCATATGGACAAGCTTTTGAATGTAAACAAACATTTATGTCTCTTCTCTCATTTCATTTTTCATTTCTAAAAACTGCAAAAGCAGGTGCCTTGTGCATGTGTGTGTCTCTGTGTGTGTGTAGTTTTAGTGCCTGGCTCTGGGGGGAATAGCGCGCTTTTGATGGCTTTCTCTCGTACAACTTTGGACATTGCAACAACGATCTGGGCATATTAAAAGCGGCTAGTTATCTGTTTGTGGTCAGTGCCATGGCCCACTTTTATAGCTTCATTTGGCCAGAAAAAGCAGCAACAGCAGCCACATCAGCTTTAGCAGCAGCCATAGCAACAACAACTAGAGATTCAGGTAGCCAGGCAATTAAGTACTCCGCGCGGCTAGCTGTTAAGTACACTCAGGAAATTTCCATACACTACAAAAAAATACCTCTTATACTGTATATATTTTTGCTTAGGCACAATTAAGGTGTTAAACACAGGGAAGAGTTAAAAGGGAAGGTGGCTTTCGGGAAATTAAGGAACAAATTCTTTGTTTTTTTCCCAAAAAAATATTTACATTGTGGAAAATTTGTAGATAAGCATTTTAAAAAACTGAACCATGTGAAATGTAAATGTAATCTAATTGGAAACAGAGAACTTAAAAAAAACTCAAAATTAAAAGGTAATCTTTCTCATATATAAATTTTTTAAGAAAAGAACAAGCCTAATATATTTTTAGCGCTGTTTGAAATTTCCCTATCCTCGTCAAGGGACTTTTTATGCTTTAAGAAAAAAACTGTCTATTTGAAGCCAATTGGTTTTTTTATCTAGGAAATTATTTGTTAAAACAAGAAATTTTTCATGTATGCTCCCAGGGAAATTATGCCGTTTTGAAATAAAGTGCTTTATTGCTGAAATTTTTCTCTCAGTGCAGCAGCGATAATACGCAGCGCAATCAGAACTTCAGAACTTGCCCCGGCTCCAACCCTCCAACGCTCAGGTGGTCAAGCGATGAGGGTTGGGCACTTAACATTAATTACAGTGCAAAGGCGGCCCTAATGCAGTTGGTGCCACTGTGCAGGGCAGTTGGCTGATAAAAGGAAGCAAAAAAACACATTTGCAAAGGCCCCCAAACGACGATAGCAGCGGCAGCGGCAGGGGCAGGGGCAGCAAATGGGTGCACACAGCAGAGCAGATAAAAGAAAAACCTGCGACAAGTCAAGCACACACACACACACACGCACACACAAACAAACTCACGTAGGCGAAAAGCCAACAAAAAGCGGAATTGCAACTGCTGCAGCAACGCTTGAATTAGAGATGAGCATATGGCTAGTTGGTGGCGGGGGGTGAGGAGTAGCAGCGAACCGGTTTAATTGAGCGACCTCCAATCAGAATCAAGTTCACGACAATAAAAAAAAAGCCGCTAAACGCACTCAAAGCCCACAGCAGCAAAAAAAGAGATTAGCTATAAAATTAAGTACAACAAATTAAAGAGCGAGAAAAAGACAACAATTGAGTTTTATATTCACCTTAAACGTTGTGCAGTCGGCGTCGCTGTTGGCGTCTGTGGCAGGCAGCGTTCAAAATTCCTGTGAAACAACACAAAAGTTAGAAGCTGGACTTGTGGATTAAGCGGGCTACGCGGGGGGCAGGCTGCACAGGATAAAAATGTGAACGAGCTCTGCCCGCACAACAAACCGGGCACGACCCGGTTTATTTACGCGTTCTATGTCTAACAGGACCGCGCAACAACTACAACAAATGTGTGTAGTTTTTTGTTTTTATTTTATTTTGTAGTAGGTATCAAGTGCCTGCGCACTTACACACAACACACACAAACACACACACACACGCACACGCACAATATTTTTCGAAAATACCAGCGTAGCTGTGTGTGTGTGTCCACTCTAGCTGTTTTCGATAATAACGCGAAATTTACCAAATATTCATTCAGTCGCACTGCAACACTTTCAACTTTTCTAAATTATTATTATTATTTTGTTATAAACAAACGCGACGTACTCGTTCCGGCGGAACGACTGCTGCCTTGTGTGTGCCTGTGTGCATGTGTGTATTTTGCATTTATATATCTCTAATATATTTATTATGCACACGTTAACGCGAAAATTGTAATGAAACACTTAATTTGTTTAAAAATACATACAAAAACAGACCACGCCACGCGTCCGCACAGTTTGTTGAATCGGAAAAGAATGAGTGAAAAGACCGAAATAATTATCGATATATCGATAAGTGCGGCTCTGTATTGATACAACTGGATGGCAGCATGCTGACAAGCGAACTGCCCTGGTATTTCGCTGTTGGCAACATGTAGCCTGACATGCCTTTGCTGAGTGCATGAATGAAAGAGAGCGAGCAACAAGAAATGTTGCCTCACTTTCTGCAAATGTTGCTGGGTGGCATGTAGCCTCACGGCGCACATGCTGCTAAGCACTTAGCGATGATAACGACTAAGCGATGTTTCAGAAACACAATCGATGTAAGCCAACAATATGCAATACGATTCAGTTAGTATTCGTGATCAACTTCTGGCTGTATATAAATAAAATTGTGATCTTTTTGCTGAAAATTAAACTCACACTGATATATATCGAACGCAATTTAAAACGCGGCTGTTAACGCAAAAAAGAGCGCTGACTGTTAAAAATTACCGATAACATATCGAGCTTTGGCGCATGCAATTGTAATTGGCGCGCATTTAAACATTTTTGTTTAATTTCCATAAATAGATCAAATAAAAGCAAGCACGCGGTTCTAACTAGTTTATCATTTATTTATCATTAAAATTTTACTGAAACACGATCAAAACTATATCTGACTCTGCTTATGCCTGAGTTTCAACTGACAAAGCAGGTCTGTTTAAAATCTTAATTTTATTATTATTTTGTTTTCTATAGGACGTACTCGTATGCTTGCTTAAAACAAAATTTAGAAATAAATAGCGAAAATAGGAAATTTGCATTTTTGTTTGTAGTTTAACAATATTTTTCGCTGTTGCCGCCAAAAGGAACGGTACGTCTCAATTTATCAAAAATTATTTTACATGACAAAATAAAATTGAAAATAAATTCGTTAACGGAACAACACACAAAACAATGAATTTAGCTGCACTAAAAAAATAAAACATTATTTTGCAGAACCTATAGAAAAAAATTAAATAAAATAATGCATAATAAAAACCCTGTTTACTTTGTCGATCGTGCTTGGGTAATCTTCTGTTTCTCCTCATCGGTAAACTCCAGAATGCTCTCGATGGCCTGCAGATGGCCCTGCGAGTTCTCCTTATCTGTTAGAAAGTAGAAAATGGCGCTCTTCAGGAACTGCAGCGTTACCTCCGGATCGACATGGGTGCGATTCTTTTGCGCCTCCAACAAGCGTCGATAAATGGTCTACATTCGCGAATAGCGTTTGGTTAGTGTGTGTGTGTGTGTGGAAAAGAGAGAGTGCAGAGAAAGGCTTGAGATTAGTTCACATACAGTTGTAGTATAAGCAAATGTGAGGTTAGGTTGCGGCTATACCAAAACATAAGTCGGTTAAATGTTATTTACATATAAATTTGATTCACTGGTGCTATGACATTTGATGAACATTTAAGTTATGTAGTATATGTAACACTGAATATATTGGGTAAGGAAATGTTTATTGTATATATATATATATTGGTTGGGTCTATTGGGAATTAGTTTATATGAACCACATGCTAGATTATTTAGGTACCTAATGGGTATTTTTAGCTTTACGTGTGTGAAATTAATCAATGATTGTTTTCTGTTTTTTACCACCTGTTGCTGCACAGCAACGAAATAGTCACAACTAGCCGGATTAGTGTCTCTTTTTTTTTTTATTTAACTAAATTAATGTAAATTCGTGTCAAAACATACCTCTAGTTAATACTATTTGGTAGAAAAACAAGAAAAAAAACAACGTCATGTTAACGTTGCCAGTGAAAACGCGTTGAATTCAACAAATTGATTTCGTGTTCCATTTCACACATTCCCCATTTCCCATTTCCCACCAACACCCTTCACGCCCCTTGACCACACATGATGATGGCGCTTATGTTAATGAAATGTTTCAGGTTCTTTTTGCAGGTTAGGAATACATGAATATCCAAAATGTTCGTTAGCCAATGATCAGAAATAATAAGAAAAGAAACGAAGTTTTTTTTGTTTTGAAAATTTTGCAAATAAACTAAAAAAACATTTGGGTTAGGTTATAAATTGTTAATAGGTTGCTTTTTGGGTTAGGTTTTTTGTTTTTCTTAACGGATATTACAAACCTTACGCGCGCCAAGTACCCACAAAGAAATCGCCTCCTTTGCAGTAAGGAGAGCATGATTACTGCCGCATTCCCTCATTCTACACTCTGATGCCTACAAAAATAGTTTGGTTTTGTTTGTTTTTTTTTTTTTTGTTTTGTTTTTTTTAGGTAATTCGACAAAATATATTTATATATATATAAACGTATATATAGATAGAAAGAAAATTATGTAAAGTTTTAGTAAAATGTAAAACTCAAGGACAAGGATATATACATATATATGTATATATATTGATATATAAACATGCAGGAGAAAAGGTAAATCAAGAAGAAGAAAAACTTAAGAGCTCGCAACGGCAACTGTACTTGTTTTGTTATCATGCACTCTCCACTACGCTGTGACTGTACTTAGCTAATTGAACTCGCAACGGAACGGAATGGAATGAAACAAGCGAAATTAAAAAACAATAAGAAGAAGAAGTAGAAAAAAACGTGATGGTACTTGGAAACAAATCAAACGTTGCTTTTAATGTGTACTTTTCTTGAATGCAAATGTTTGTAAAAGTTAATTAATTAATGTTATGCGGTACTTAAAGTCTATGAAATGATTAAATAATTATTGAATTATTAGCGACGCGCATTTCAATTAAATGCAGCTTTTCCAGCCAGGCAAAGCGCCAAATTAAAATGAAACGTCCTCAACCCGAAGCACACATACACACACACGCACACACACACACAGACACAAACACGGACACAAACAGCAGTTGAATGTCATGATGTTGTTGTTGTTGATGTTTATTTGTGTGCGTGTGCTTTGATTTATGTTTGTTGTGTGCTGATGTTGTTGTTGTGGTTGTTGTTGTGGTTGTTGTTGGATGAGTCGCAGTTCACGATGCAACAAAATGCAACACACAAAACAAAACCGAAAATAATATTAGAAATATATTGAAGAATCTTACGCGTATATTCTCCAGCTCATCCTGTGTGCTTTGCAGCTGATGCAGCAGCTCGTTGATGGACACCTTGCTGTCCGGCTGGCGTTGTGCCAGTTCCATTGCCTGGAAACGATAAAATGAAACATTACAAATGCAACACTGGCAGATCCCACACTGGGCACAAAACAAAGGGATCTTTCCTGTGTCAATGTATTTCAAAAGATCCCTTATTGTATAAATTAAAATTGAACGAAACACACACTGAAATTTGACGAAGCATAATCGGGGTTCATGAAAGTGCAAAATCGCGTTCACGAACCCAAACTGAGGGCAGGGCATTGGTTCAAACCTTTGTTGAATTGACAAGCCATTAACTGATCTAAAATGAGCTGGGTTTCTTTTAAAGGCAGGTCATTGGCTCAAATCTAACATTAACTTTTGTTGGATTGGCAAGCCACGAATTGATAAAAAATGAACTGTGTTTCTTTTCAATAGAAAATTGTGGTTCAATTGACGAGCCATAAACTGATCTATAATCAACTGGTTTTTTTTTTTGCCTGACAAGCCACAAACTGAACTAAACTGAACTGGTATTTGTTATTGGTTCATGAACAGATCTAAAATGAACTTGTTTGCTTTAAAGGCAGGTCATTGGTTCAAATCCAACTGGTGTTTTTTTCGAGTGCAGATGGAAGCGTACCTGATCGGCGCGCGTTATGCGCTCCGCCTCCTGTCCCTGCTGGTACATGTGCAAATACATTTTGTTCTGCTTCTCCTCATGCTCGATCAGCTTGCGCTGCAGATCCTCGAGCTGTTTCTCGAGCTCACGGATGCGCTGCTTGGCGTGCTCATAGTCCGGCACAATGTCCGAGTAGCGTGTGTTGCATTCGGCCAGCTTCTGTAGCAGCGCCTCGACCTTGTCGTTGTGTGTGCGCTTCAGGTCGCTGGCGGCGCCGTCCTGGGTGCGTATCAGCTCCTCGATGCGATGCTCGTACATGCGTATCAGCTCCTGGCGCTGCAGCTCGTAGTTCTCCAGGCTGCTGGACGCTGCCGCCGCGTCCGCGGCCGTCTCCTCGGGCGTCTCGCTTTGCGTCTGCGAGTCCTTCGAGTGCACCGACGACATGGTCAGATCCTCAAAATGACCCGAGTCCGCATACGAGCTCTGCATCTCGGCGGACATTTGCAGCTGCTGATGCTGATGCTGCTGCTGACGGGCCAGATGGCGCGGACTGCACTTGGCCTCGTCCACCATGTCCACAATGGGCGAGACATCCTGCGAGGTCTTCAGCTCCGCCTCGCGCACCGTTACCGCATCCGAGGAGGCGGAACGCTCCTCGGGCGAGCTGAGCGATGCCTTGAACAGGCGCAGCTCGACAACCTCGCGTGTCAGACGCAATATCTCCGTATCCTTCGCCTCCAGATCCTGTCGCGCTATGCTCAACAGCTCCTTGAGTCGTCGTATCTGACGCTGTGCCCGCTGCGTGGGCGTCAGATAGTCGGCTCCAACTTGGCCCGCATAATTGGAACAGTGCACCACATACTTCATTTTGCGTCCACTGAAGGTGGTGCCGTTTCTGCAAGGTAAACATATAGTTAGTGGGTACTTGATCAATTTAAAAGACCTAATAAGTTAAATATTAATTGCTCATTATTCATTATTTTTCTTATTAAGCTAACTTGACATTAGGACACAAAATGCGTAAATACATTGTGCAAGATCCCATTTAAAAAGGGGTTCGTCACAAGTAAATTCAAAATTTCCCCATATTCAAATGGTTCACCCTTATACATATAAATAAAAATTCTTGATTTTAATTAATATTATCCCTTTGCATAAATTGTTTGTATCTATTGTATGCTCTGGAAACTGTAAGCTTATAATTTCCCTATATTTTACAAAATGATAGCATTTTATATATTAGGTTTTAACAAAATATTTAAAGACTTAACATAAGTAAATTTTTCCTTTTAATGGGGTTAGTTCCTTCAATCTCCGTTTAAAAAGTTTGTGGGACTTTTAAAATAAAATTTCCCCATATTCTGACTATTTTTCCCATTTGACAAGTTCTGTTAACTAAATATTTCCCTATATTTTAAAAGTTAGTAAAACCAAATATAAAAATTTCCCTATATTTCAAAAAGTTTCTTCTCTCAATTCTTCTCTTGTTACGCAATCTTACCTGGCCACATAGGGATGCTCGCAGGACATGGTCGAACGACCCGATGTGGTGGTCGCAAATGAATACATCGAATCTAGATCATCATCCAGATAGGTGCTCGGTGAATCTGGCGTTCCTGGCGGCGTCTTGGGCGATATCTTCGTCTCGTGCACCGTGGACAGCTTCGCAGTGGAGTCCTGCTGCTTCCTGTTGAGCGTTTTGGACAAACGGGCGCAATGCTTATCCCGCACACAGCTGTGGCCCGGCTCGGGCGGTGTCTTGGGCGTCTTTGGCGTGGACGTCGACGTGGCCGTTGCGATGCCCGCTGTCTCTGCACTGCCGCCGTTCAGCTTTAGAGACTGCAAAATAGAAAACAATTATGTTTAGACCGAAAGCCAAGCGATTAGCCCAAGCACTGCTTCATTTTCTTGCTGGCTGCTTTCTATCGCTGCCAATCTCTGCGGTTGCTCCAATCGAAGCTCTGCCTTGCTCAGTCGTGCATAGTTCGCGAAACGCGTAAAAAGATCGCGTGTAGTCGATGGAAAGGGGATAGCGGGGGGCTGACTTGAAGGTATCTTGTAGTTAGCGTAACGCCCCAAAACCAATTTGTTGTTATACATTTACAAAACATTTTAAACACCCGTCAGTTACTTTCATTGTGGCATTCCTTCCATTCCGTATCAGAGACACGAACCCCCTCCCCTCTGCGCCTCACCCGATCAAGCGGCAGCGGCATTTTTGTGGTCAATTAACTGCCTATGCACCAGCGGGGTAATAGATAGGGGGAACAGCTTTTGGTGGGACTTTGTGTTTTTAGTCCTAAACGGAAATACTTTTCGACTGTTCCCACTTCTGATTTGATTTGACTTGCAAAAACATTGCCAAAGTTAAGATTAGCTCTTTGAAAGACATGTTATATAAATTCATTGACCTTTATTTTATTCAATTAATTTATTACAGCTGTAAGCCACAAGTCTAAGCAAAAACAACAAAGCTTTAGCTTTCAATAACATATCAAGTTTAAGAAACAATTCTCTTGGCTTACATTTGGACAATGCTTAAAATCAACTAGGAAACATTTAAATTTAAAGCTAAAACTCAATTGTGAATAACCACAAAAATAAAAGAACTCTTTAGTTCTGGCCTCATTTGTTTGTTGCTTTTACTTTTGAGTTAAATGTGTTAACGGTTAACACAAATTAGTAGAGACCACAATTTCGCCTCTAGATATTCTTATAGATGCAACAAATAGTTTACACTACACTTTTGTTTTTATTTAATGGTATACGGAAAATATATTTCCCACTGTTTTTAAAGCCAGTGTTAAAATGTCTTATTAAATTAAAACATTGGTTTAATCCACTTTTTGCATTTATTTGTACCCAATAGGTACTGATTAATTATTCATGCCGTGGTATACAATCCATTTTTCGTATTTTTTGTTCAAGTCGAAATCAGCTAAAAGTATAGTTTTAAGTATTTCTCACTATTCTCGTAGCCTGTGTAAAAATGTTTAATTATATAAAAACAATTGTTTAATCCAGTTTTTGCTGGTATTTGTACCCAATTGGTATTATTTAAACCCTTAATTTGAGCACATAAAAAAGCATTACCTTAAGCAATTCTCACTACTCTTAAAGCCCGTGTAAAGATGTTTCGGCTTGCATTTGTACCCAATTGGTATGAATGTACCCAATAACTGGTACATATATTTTTCATTGGTTTTTTTTCCAGCCTTAATTGTTCATCAGCTTAATTTAAGACCTAACACCAGTTGAAAATGTCTAATTATATACAAATAATTGTTTAATCTAGTTTCGGTTTCTATTTGTACCCAATTGGTATAATTGTACCCAGCAACTGGTGCGTTATTCATGCCTTGTTACATTATATATTTTTTTAGTAGTTCTTTTAAGCCTGAATCAGCTTAATTTAAGCAGCTAAAGGCATTACTCTAAGCACATTACGTGTTTACGGACCAAACAAGAAGGGAAACCAAAAAAAAAACATTGTACCCAACTATGATATAATGCCAGAAAACAAAAAGCTAGAGTTTGCCTCTATTTTCCCGGTCTCTCTATATGCGGAGACAGCTAAAAAAAAATCGCACCGTCTGTCATTTGGCGAGTGCCCCAAATGGGTATTGAAATGTGATTCAGAATCAGATGTCCCACTCGCCAGCCGCTTGGACGACAGTCATTTGCAGCTACTGTCAGCTATTTTACTGTAAGTGCCACTGCAACTGCAACGGCAGAAGGTTTGGCTTGCAAATCAGGTTAGACTCAGGTGAGTGTCGAGTGTAGAGCGAGGGCCCACACACACACACTCACACTCACACACACACACAGCACGTACCTCATGCATATTTCATAATCATCATTAACGAGTTTCTTGCCCTATTTTAATTGTTCAACTACTGGGAAATACATACTTGATGGCACTTCTACAAAAAGAAAAAACAATGTGTTCTCGCAATAAGTTTTACGCACGAGCTAACAGCACAGCTGGGTAAAAATGAAAGATACCAAAAGTAGCTGAAGCTACACTCAGAGAAATCGTTTAAAATTCTATTTAAAATGATAAAAATGTGGCGAGCAGCTGGAACCAGCTCGAGCTGTTAATATGCCAAAGATACGAATACACTTCGAGAAAAACCGTGCACTAACTTCGACTATAAATTGATTTGAATTTATTCAGGTTCATTTCGTACTTAAATACTCTTTAATAAAGTAGAACATTTTCTTTGAATTTCATTTGTGTAACGAAAATAAGCAAAAGTGCAGAACAAAATGCTAACTTCAAGAATTTACGTACTTGAACTAAGCGTAAAGCGTACTCAAAGGAAGTACAGCCTTTTTTAAAGTAAGTAAAATCTTGTATTTAGATATCTATAGTATTTTTTCAGTCCTATGTTCTTAAATGTTTGGCATTAGAATAAAAGTGCTTGAAGTAAGAATTAACTTCTTAGCTTAAGATTAAAAAGACCTAATATAAGTCTTTTATTCCGAATTTTAAGTTCTTTTACCTTGAAATTTTGGGCTTTAAATGAAATTTCATAAAATAAGAACTTAATTCTTAGCTTAAGACAAAATATGACTTGAAATAAGTTTTTCATTCAGAAAAGATGTTCTCAAGATCTTCATAAAAGTGCTTAAAAAATAAAGTTTTTAGCTTAAGACTAAAAAGACTTGAAATAAGACTTAAAATAAGTCTTTTATTTGAAAAATTAGTTCTTGAAATCTTGAATTTAGCACTCTTCTTATGAAATAATAACTTTTAAAGAACAATGAGCAAGTCTTAGTTTAAGCTTCCTCGATATTTCTCTCAGTGTTGTTAGCCAGTACGTTAACTGGGCTAATGCTCTTCTTGTTATTTTATAACAATCCAAACGTAACGCTTACGCATTTTATAACTAAGCCCAAGTATGTCCAAAGTCTACTTAATATCAATTTATTCCCCACTAAAGTCACGTCCCAACTATTCACCTCATGCTTATATGGACCATATATCATTCTGAATGGGCCGAAGAAAAATCGATGGCTTTGATTCAAGTGCGAATCGCGGCTGTGCAGGTGTGCAAAATGTACATTTTGTCTCTGCCAATTGCGACAATGGTCAAAATAGCCCAGTTGGCCCATTGCCAAGACGACTCTGCAGCGGCACATGCCTCTATCTAGACTATCATCTATATATGGGCCACATTTCAATTGCGAATGGATATAAAATGGTTTTTTTTTTTTGCAAACATTTTATGTCTTTGCCCAGTTTTCAGGGTCGTCGTAGAAAGTTTGCAGTTATTTTAGGAATATTATTATATAAGCAGGTGCTAAGGTGCTTAAGGTCCTGATAAAGCAAGATGAAGAAATTTGATAGTATATATTCATTAAAATGGGGAAAATAATGTTTAACTATGGAATATCTTTATAAATCATCGGGTACATAGAGGCATAATTATTAAGGCTGATTTTGGCAAGCTTTTCATTTAAAGGAATATTTAAAGAACTGTTTATAGCAAATGTGATATGAAGAAATTTGATATATTAATATTTGATATATTTAGAAATATTTTTTCCATAAATATGAGTTTTAATATTAAATGTTTACATTTAATCGCTTTTGTTAAAAAATTCTTGAGCTATTTTTAAAAAATATGAATTCTACGAAAATACAATTATCTTTGTACATTTATAAAATGTAGATTTTCATATTTAATGGATTTCAATAGCAGAAAAAGGCATGAAGAAAACAGTTTCAGGACACAATTATAATTTTTGTACAATAATTTTTCAATTCCTATTAAAGGATTCGCGTTTTTTAATCTTTATCATATTCCATTTAAAGTTTTCGTTTTTTTTTTCTTTATTTTTCACATTCATTTTATTTCTTTCTTTTTCTATTATTATTATTAAATTATTCGATTTTTTTCTATCACTTTGTATTTCTTTTCATGTAATATGATTTTATTACTTTTGAGATTCTCGATTTTTTGTTTAATCTTTTATTTATTCCTTTTAAGGGATAAATCTTGTGTTTTTTTTTTTCAAATATTTTCATATTTCTATTTTAGTAATTGTTTATTTTTCTTCTCATATTTCTATGAAAGCATAATAAAAATTAACTTATTACGCTGCGTTTGAATTAATATATTGTTAATTTATTTAATTTTCCGACTTTCATTTCTTTGATTTAACACACGCGCAAAATATATCAATAACTATTATTTATTTAAAAGGGCCAACGAACTGCAATTATGTCTATATAAAGAGCCCGTTTGTGTAATTATTATTTATAAGCACAGAAAACCTTGCCACAAACAGCTGCCACAAGGCCCACAATAAGAATACACACACACACACACAGACAGACACACACACAAGCATAAGAGTAGTTAAATATGCGTATACATGACTTAAAACATACTTAAAGGCATTCACACGCCAGTCGAAACTTTGTTTAAACAATAACAAAGCGAAAAGCGCGAATCGCAATTGGAAAGGGAAAAGCGGCGAGCTTTTGCTTTTGCATGCGTTCGCGTTGAGCATAAAAAATCAACTGAAACGCAAATCGCTTGGGTCAGAGAAAATGAAGAAGATGCCAAAAAAAAAAAAAAAAATTAAAGTGGAAAGCAAGAACAACAAACGAAAACAAAATGAACCCTCATGGGTTGGGGCTAGAGAGGCGGCAGCGAGTGCGGAAGCGAGGGTGGTTGAAAAGGTACGGCACTTATGCTTGTGTAGCTGTGCCTGCCTGTGTGTGTGTGCCTGTTTCTGCGTGCGTGTGTATGTGCGTGTGTTTGCTCCTGTCAATATTTGCAAAAGCTGCGCCGCGCACTTGCATTTCCTTGTTGGCCGCCCGCTCAGCTGTTTGCATTCCCTTTGCTACATTTTGGGCATAGAACAGAGCGGCAATGGAATTGAAACAGCTGCTCAACGGCCGCTGCCCTGGGCTTTTCGTTCACATTGTTTTGGCTGACCCATTATGCAAAACTGAAGCCCAGCGGTGAGTCGAAAGAAACAATAACAAAGACAAAATGGCAAATCTTTTAAAGTAACTGGCAATGGCGCTCAAACTGTAAGCCAAGCTAAACAGTTTTAAAGCGAATGGGTATGTATAAATATGTTCGCAATTGATTGTTAATTTTAAACATGATAAACATACGAAGAGTAGTTAGTACAAATTGTTGCAATTATATAAAACATGTAATATCATGTAATTAAATTAAAAATAAATTCATCATAAATTATGTATAAATATGTACATATATATGCGATATAAACTCAAACTGAACTTTACGGTGGGTGCTTGAAGCACTGCAGGTACTTTGAGTAGAAAAACAGATAGCGTGGTCGACTTGCAGATGCCCTACACCTAAGTTAAATAACCAAAATAAAAACTGAACTTGAGTAGAGTAAAAAATAGCATTTGTATAAGCCCAAATTAGTATATTAAAAATAAAATAGTTCTGAGCGTTCAAATATCGATTTTTTTTTTAAATGATCTTCATAAAAAATCATTTGTTTGTTGAGCGAAAATTTTTATATTACAAAAAAATGAAGAAAAAAACAAATTGTTCGTTGCGAACTTAATTTCTAAGGAGGGCTAGTTTTAAAGGCATTGCCCTATTGGCTCTTTATAATTGTCAAAATCGAATACTTTCTAGGCCTAACAAGCTCATGGCACAAATTGTAGAGAACTTCAATTCGTCCCCTCATGTGGTGACAAAATGTATGTAAATGCAGGGTTGTTAAATACCGCACAGGGCTGTGTCGTTTCGTAATGAAACCGGGCAATTGTATTGACAGGCGTGTTACGTGCGCAGGCGGGGGCGTTTTTTTTTCTGTCTCTCTTGTTTTCAACTTACATAGGTCAGCGATGACTTTGGTGGGGGTTAGAAATAATAAAAAATCGATACGGCAAAATGTATGCCAAGACACATCCCCACACACACACATACACGTCAAGCCACAACTTACCATATTTCGCGATTTGGAGGCGTCCATGTCCGGACTCAACTGGAGCTCAGTTAGCTGCTCTGCTAGGGGCAAGCATTCGGTGTCGCCGCTGCATAATGCATGGAAATGCGTCGAGTCCGTCTTGTTAGCCGTCTGCCTGTGGCCCAAATTGTTCCAGCTATGATTACGCGTGAAAGGCACAACTGGCTGGACGCACAATGGGCGCGCGTTCGTTGTGCTGCCGGAGAGCTGGACGCGCGAACTGAATTCACCGGCGCTGCCAATGAGCTGTGGATGCGCTTTTGTGCCGCGCAAGCGCATAGAGGCGGAACGCCGCAATGGAACAAACGGAACAGCCGAGGCGTTCGGATGTGGTATGCGTGTGGGCGCTGCTGCTGCTGCTGCCGCTGCAGCAGATGGCTGCTCCTTTGGCTCCATTGGTGACGTATCCCGAGGCAGCAACGACGTCATCGCTGGCGCTGCTGCTGTGGCCTTTGTTGTTGTTGCTATAAAAAAAAAAAAACAAAAGTGAAAATATAAAATGCAAATTAATGCAATTGTTTGTTGTTGTTGTTGTTGCTGCTGCACTTTCAAAATTGAGCAATTTTGCTGAAATGAATGCGCGTCTTAAATGCTTCATTATCTTAAACGCTCGCCAATCTCGCCAGTAATTAAAACTTTCTTCGGCTCAACAATTAATGAGCAACCCTCTAAGCAGAGCACCCCCCCCCCTCCGTCCCCCCTTCCAGCCAGCTGCATTGCTTTTACTAAGTTGGCCAATAAAAAGTGAAATTGTTGTCGATCGCATGTCGCGATCTGCTTGTGGCAAATTATGAAATTCCCGCTATTTGTGGTGCCGCGCTTGTGGTTGCTGTCTCGGCTATCGATATGAGTATAGATATACACATACATATATAGGGATATATGTAGCTTTTATCTGCGTGTGTTCTAGTTACGTAAATGCTGAAGGCCAACTCTTGTGGTGTGAACACCAATCAAAACAGCTGTGCACACACACATTTGCAGCCACTGTGTACGGCTTAAACCACACCCTCCCCCACCCCCCGAGCGCCCCCTGTAATTTGTCTAGCAGCATATTGCCACAGCTTGTTGGCCCAGTAAAGTCCAATCAATTAGTCTGCGCTTTCCACAAGAATTTGCTTAACAACTTAAAATTAGTTAAAAATTAAAAATAAATTATATTTTATACTTTATGTTTTAGATGCAAAGGTTTTAAACTGAGGCTAAAGTGTTTACCTAAGTTTTGTCAAATTTGCAACCAAAATCTGATGGCAAAATCAAGGCTAGTGTGAAAAGTTAATAAAGGATTAGCGTGCAGCCGAAGTCTGAATACCCTAACACAGTTCGTGCAACAGCTGTAAGTTGCATGATATTGTAACGCGATCTGCCTGGGAAAAATCGTTGAAGATCTGTAAAATCTGCTAAAAATTTCGTTTTTTGCTTACTTAATGGTTATTTTCTGGTAATTACCTGACGTTCTTTGGAAAACTTTTTGAGCACGATATTGAACATGATATTTAACCATTGTCAAATAAAATAAAATAAAATTCTGCACAAATTCTGAAGCACGGAAGATCCAAAGATCGTTTAAATAAAACATAATAAATAGGATATTGAAAATTTCAAAACAAAAAAAATTTTTCAAATAAATATATTTTTAAATTAAATTGAAAAAGTTAAATATATATATATATATCAAAAAGTATTCAATTGTATTTCGAATTAATAAATAAAATGCATTTTATAGAAAAGTTCAACAATTTGAGCTATAGAAAACCCAAAACCGTTAATAAATAATTATAAAATAATATTAAAGCAATTAAAAAATTAAATGGATAATTTAAAAATGAATTTACTTTGAATTAATAAATTAATATGCCCTTTATAGAAAAATTCCACAGTTGAGCTACAAAAATTTAACTTTTTTATTTAATAAAAAACTATTAAAATTAATTATAACAATTAAATAGATAAATGACAAATAGATATCCAATTAAATTGTAAATTAATAAATAAAATGCATTTAAATTCATTATAAAGACAATTTCAATAATTTAAGCTAAGGAAATAAATGTTTAACAATTAAATAAAGTAACAAAAATGTATTAAATTAAATTTTAGATAAATAAATGAAAAATTCTGCAATCATTCACATTTATTTCCTTAGCTGTTCTTTGCTATATGATACACCAGCTAAAAGAACTGATAGGCTACACTGAAAAAATGGGAGATATAAGAAAATGAAAAGCATAAATACTGAAAAATTACTTTATTAAACTCTTGCAGATATATTAACAACGATAAAGAATGGCTAGTTTTAAAAGAATTTAAGCAGATAAAAAGACTTGGTAGATTGGCCAATATAGGAAACACGATCCGCTTATCTCGAGTCGAGAAATTCTCGACCAGGTAGAGGAGAAAATGATGATAAAGCACTTAAGAAATTGAAAACAACACATGTTCTCAGGCTTTTCACTCGAAGAGTCATTTGAATGAAAACAAAAAACCGCTTTTACTCAAATTAAAGCAAATTAGTGCAGCAAACATTTAACTCTGCATTAAGTGGACTCTACGATGGGCCCTATAATCGTCTGCTCCAGTTCGGCAACATTTCTCCAACGATTATTGTTTAGTATTTCCGCTGATATCTTTTGGACTGACACAAACAACAACAACAAAACTTAGTTGCATTTGTTTTGGGCCATAAAAGGTCAATTTCACAGCCGAACAAACGTGTTTTTCTCTCTTTTTTTGTTGTGTTTTGCCACGTTTTTTGTTTTAACCAGATTTAATGACAACAGCTCGAATGCTTTTAAACGCAATTTCTTTGAACTCGACGACAAGGTCGTTGATAGCCAGTCCAGATATCGAGTGCAATTTGTGTTGGCATTTGATAAGCAATTTGCTGCCTGAGATCTTTAAAGATAGCTGCTTTTCGAAATCGAACTATTTTGGTATTTTAACTGTCAGCTTTAAAGTCTCTCTCCAGACAAAACCGCCCACTAAAAGCAACAACAGTCTCTGGCAGGCCGAAGATTTGATACCCTTGACCGATTCTTCCAATAGAGCTTTGTTCAAAATTTGTAACTGAAACAGAACAAAAAACAAATACCCAACTTTCGACCCATTGTTGCTATGGCAGCTATATATAATATGGAGGTCCAATCCGACTGGTTCCAACACGTTCAAAACTGAGAGACTAGTTTACACAAAAACAGGCAAGGCTATATACTGATCAATATATATGTATATATATTTCTTCCTTAATGCATTACGCACTGCATGACATAATTACAATACCCTCTTTAGTATAGGGTATAGAAAGCCGCTCAGAGCGCAGTTCTCGTCTAGCTTTATCAACAATAACAAATTTGGTTGTTTCTGATAAGAGCCGCAAAATCGAAAGCAATTGCCACAGCAAAAAATATTGTAAACTTTTCACAATGTGTAAAATTATTAACAATTTACCTCTTTTCACGTTGATTTGGTAAACACAATTTTCTATGCCATATTACAAAAGCATGCTGGCTAATGTTTAAACAACAACAAGCGTGATTAATTAAACTAATAATAATAATAATAGTAGAAAGAGAGAAAAAAAACTCTGTTAACTGTAACAACGAGCGCGTGTCGTGAACGACAAACTGCAACTGAAAAGTGCGACGGTGCGCTGCGGCGTTGTTGACGCCAAATGGAAAATGTTTGTTGAAAATGGAAAAACTTTTGTTTGTAAGCTGTTGCCGCTTCTGCTGTTGCTGCTGCTGCTGCGCAAGCGAGACGGAAAATGGAGTAGCAGACGCAAAATGTTGCAATCATGCCCAACAGACCCACCTTTGACTTGGCGACGGACGACCCCAGCGATGGCATTTTAAATGATTTTTCGGTGTGCTGGGAATCTGTGTGGCATTTGTTTGGGGCGTCAGGTGAAAGGCAATGCAATTAATTGGCGCAGCAAACCTAAAGTACAATTGTTTTTTCTTCTTCTTCTTTACTTACCGCTCGGCCTCATTACGTACTGCTGTTTCACATGGCATTTACATTTTATAGGCAGGCCAAGAAGTTGGCGCCATAACTGTTGTTCGGTCTAGCGGAACGCATTGCGAATGGCTTAAGCCGCATTTTTTTAAAATTTACTATTCAAAGCATTTATCTAACACTTTAACTGATACTAAGTACAACTATCACTTTCGACATGTTTTTAATTTAAGTTTTACTAAGTTATTGCGAGTCTAATTATTTTTTATAATAGCTTAAAATATTTATCTGATTTACAGTTATTCAAACTATATTTTTCTCGCTATCGATAGTGTTATGTCTTCTCTAGCTATGGCTGGTCACACTCTTACTCTCGACACAATGGCGATAGTTAAAAATATTAGAAATATCGATAAGTCACTCGACTGCTATCGAAACTTAGTCGCCCGACCGCCACTTCGCCGTGAAACAGCTACTGAAGAAAATTTACTCAAGTCATCCTAACAACGAGCCAGAGTAAAATTAATATAACAATTCTAAAATGGAAACACTTCTGGGCATCAAGGGACCTGATTTTGTTATGCTAGCAGCAGACACAACTCACGCCCATTCTGTAGTCGTTATGAAAGAAGGTAAAGTATTTAGCGGCGTGCATCAGTGGCATCAGCACCGGGTTCGAGCCTAACATTCTCGCTTCATAATTTTTAGATGAGAACAAAATCCATAAGGTGGCGGATAATTTGTTAATTTCAACGGTTGGTGAGTCTGGCGACACCGAGCAGTTCACCGAGTTTATTGCGAAGAACATTGCATTGTACAAAATGCGCAATGGCTACGATTTAAGTCCCCATTCGGCCGCACATTTCACTCGCAAAAACCTGGCGGAAAGTCTGCGTAGTCGCACACGCTACCAGGTGTTTATGTTCATTGCCGGGTGAGTCCCATTGAAGTTAATTTAAATGACGCTTGATCAATAGTAAATTCTTATATCAGCTACGATCCCACTGAGGGCCCTGAACTGACATTCATTGATTATCTGGCGTCGGCACAATCTGTGAATTATGCCGGTCATGGTTACGGTAGCATGTTCTGCTCCAGCATATTCGATCGCTACTGGCATCCAAATATCACCGAGGAAGAGGCCTACGATGTGCTAAAGAAATGTGTGCTGGAAATTCAGAAACGTCTGATTGTTAACTTGAAAAACTTTAATGTGGCGGTTGTGGATAAGAATGGGGTTCGCCATTTGGATCAAATCAGTTCCAAGAGCTTAATCGATTACAATGCTGCCGCTTAATTAAATAGCCGCTAATCTTATGTTAAGCATTTTAAATGCATATTGAAGCAAAATAAAAGATTCGGATTTTGGTATGACAACAGCTGGACTATTGAATTCCAGTTAATTAATGATACATTAAAATAAATGAGCTGTTGTACACATGACCAGCAATTCCTATTGATGTTCCACAAGCTTGCTTAAAGCTTAAGTTCATATTTTAAAGTTAAATGAAGCAAGGGTGGTTTTATTTAAGTTTTTATATTATATTTAGCCCACATATTGAATACTGTCATTTTCGCAGTTTGCTGTTCAATTAATCGTCCGATGTTTTCTATCGACTATCGATATGAATCGATCGATATGTTGGAAAGCGCCAGTCATTTGGCATTCACCCAGAACGACGACAGTCGCCTTATCAACTGCAATTGGTTTACACTTCATTGCCATTTCACAACGCATTAATATATATTGGAAAATATAAAATGCAAGCACCGCCGCCCGAGCACTGTCCTGGCGTGGAGAGCGAACAGGCCGGCCTGGTCAGCGCCTGTGCCGGCTGCCCCAATCAAAGCATTTGCAGTGATCCCAGCAAGAAACTTGAGGATCCCGGCAAGGCGCTGGTTGCCGCTGCCATGAAGGATGTTAAGCAGAAGCTGCTGATTCTCTCCGGCAAGGGAGGTGTGGGCAAGAGTACGGTTACCACGCTGCTGACACGCTACTTGGCACGCAGTTACCCCGATAACAATTTTGGCGTCTTAGACATTGATATTTGTGGGCCATCGCAGCCGCGTCTGCTGGGCGCACTGGGCGAGAATGTGCATCAATCCGGCTCTGGCTGGTCGCCGGTGGGCATAGACGACAATGTGTGCCTAATGTCCATTGGTTTTCTGCTGGGCTCTGTGGATGATGCTGTCATATGGCGCGGTCCCAAAAAGAACGGCATGATACGACAGTTTCTCAGCGAGGTGGACTGGGGTAATCTGGATTTGCTTTTGCTGGACACGCCGCCGGGCACATCGGATGAGCATTTGTCCGTGGTCTCGTATTTGCGAGATGACAACGCGCCCGAATCTTTGCACGCCATTATTGTGACCACGCCGCAGGAGGTGGCGCTGCTGGACGTGCGTAAGGAGATTAATTTTTGTAAAAAGCAACGCATACCCATCCTGGGCGTCATTGAGAACATGAGCAGCTTCCGCTGTGGACACTGCGGCAACAGCTCCGAGATCTTTCCCGCCAAAACGGGCGGCGCAGCGGCCATGTGCACCGAAATGGATGTACCGCTGCTCGGCTCCTTGCCGCTCGATCCGCTCGTGACACGCTCCTGCGATGCCGGCGAGGACATAACAGCCATGCGCAACGAGACCACCGAAGCGCTGGCCACCATATGCAGCAAGATCATGAGCAGCTTTTAGTCTAGTTTATTTTTAATTATGATTTGTACTGTTTATTAAAGTTATGCGTATAGATATTGTTAATATTAATTATGTTATTTTAAGATGGCTCCTAGGCATTTATGGGCGCTGCGGCGGCTAGCGGACTTTGAATGGACAGCTCACTGGCGCCAGCGACCACTTCATTGACACTAATCTCCTCCTGCACCACATGCGAGATCGCTGTGCTCTCGAGCCGCGGCGCAAAAGTTGTATCCCGGCCGCACATTCTAGATATTTCCGACTGCAACTGTTGCTGCGTTGCCTCCAGCTCGCCGTTTGGTGCGGCGGGGCGCAGCGTCACATCCTCCATTTGCGTGGAAGTGATACGTGGCTGTGTTGGCGGCGGCAATGGATCTGGCGGATGATTCACCAGGGTAACCGAATCTGTGCAATCATCAACCTTATAAATGCCCACCAGATAGTTGGACAGCTCGAACATATTCACGCGCAGCGAGACAATTATAAACTGGGCATTCTTGGTGCGCTCCTAAAAGAGAGGGCAAGTTGTAGACGAAGCAAATTTGTGCCGGCAGCAGCAGTTCTTACCTTGATATAATGGCCTACAATGGACACGTTTTTAAAGTCCAAGGCGGCATCGATCTCATCCATAAAATACAAAGGCGATGGCTTATAATAATGCAAGGCAAAGACCAAGGCGAGCGAGGAGAGCGTCTTCTCCCCGCCAGATAAATTCGAGATGTATTTCCAGCTTTTCTTGGGCGGACGCACAGTGAACTGTACGCCCTCGGTGAATGGATCCATGGAGTCAACCAGCTCCAAGTCAGCATCGCCACCCAGCGTTATCATGCGATACATTTCCTTTAGCTTGCGCGTGATTATGTTGAAGCCCTCCATGAATTCCGTATAGCGACGCTTGCGCACCTCCTCGTACTTGTCGCGCATCTCGTTACGTTTCGAGGTGATGTCCTCGAGGACACGCACGCGATCCAAATAAACCAGACGCTTGTCCGTGAACTCCTTGATGAAGCCCAAATTAGGCTTAGTTTTCAGCTGTTCCTCAAGCAGCGTTTGCTTGTACTGCATGTCCTCCAGATTATTCGCCTCCAGCTCCTCCTCGTTGAGCGTCTTGAGCGGTGCCGGCGGCTCTGTTTCGCCGGGTATTTCATTCAGCTTTAGCGGCTTCAGCTGCGCCTGCCAGCGCGGTATATCCGATTTCACCTCGTTCATCTTGGCTGCAGCCGCCTGCAGCTTGGTCTCAATCTCAATGCGTGCCAGATTCCGTTGATTCTCCTGCTTGTTCAGCTCATCGATTTCCTTCTTAATGTCCGATGATTGCGACTTGGCGTTGCCGATGGCCTCCTCGGCCTTAGAAGCTTCCTCCTCCAGCTCATTCTTGCGCTCCTGACACTGCTGACGCTCCTCGTTGAGGGCGCGCAGCTTGTCCTCCGCCGTTTTAATATTCTCCCGCAGATTATTGTTGTTATTCTTGAGACGCTCAATGCTGCGCTCCGCGGTGGTCAGCGCAACATTCAGGCTTCGCACATTGCCGGCCAGCTTCTCGATCTGACTGGTTGTCTTCTTCAGCTTGGCCTCCACGGGCTTCACTGTATTCGAGCGCAGCATATCGTATTCGGCCTGCACTTCACTTATCTGACTGGACATGGCCTGCTCCTTTTCCACGCGCTGCTGCAGATGCTCTGCGGCACGCTTTATGTGCGCCTCGTGCTCCTTGACGGCACCCTCATCTGTGGTATGGGCCTGCATGCGTTTGCGCTGTGCCTCGCATTGTTTGAGGCTGCTGGCCATCTGCTGCTCCTGCGATTTGATGCTCACCGTGAGACGCTTTTGTTCCGTTTCACTGCGCTGGAGATTCGTTTGCAGCGTTTGTATTTCATACTCCAGGCGCCCCTGTTGCTCCTGGCAGTAGTTGATG